CCTTACTTTTTTTAGACTTTTAATTATTTAAACTCATAGCTTTATTCTTATGGTTATAATTATCTCAATTTGATATCAATTGACTTAATGTTTTAAAAAGCACAATGATGAAGTACCTAGTACCTATCTTAATTTCATATAGCTCCAATTTTTTAAGGAGGAACATGACCCTATATTAGAGATTCATATTCCTGATATATGATGTATGAGAATCTACCTTTTCTTATTATTTCATGTTATATTCATATTTTACATTTTATTAATTTTAAGTTTAAATTTTTATTCTTATTTTATTCTTATATATTTGTAATATTATAATTTTGTTATTAAATAGGTCTATGATTATTATAACTTAGAGAGCCATTCCGTTTCAGAGAAAATTATGCTCAAATACTCCTTTTCTTTTCTTTTTCTTTCTTGCTGCATCTCTTCTCTTATTCTCTGAGGGGGGAGGGGAATTATAATTAAGTACCCCTTCACTCAATATAACTTATTTTATTCAATATTGTCTATAAAAGAGAAAAGATATCAAAAGGTTTTGTATAAAGATATGTTTTTATCCCTATACTTAGATTTTGGGAGAAAATATCAAAAATAAATTGACTACCTTTTATTCATTGTAATGGATATCTCTTCACAGTCTCCTCAAAAAAATTTTAGTTCATAAAGAACATAATCTTTTCTTTTATTTGTATGGCTAAGAATATAATAATAAAAATTACATATTGATTGAGATTTCAAAAGATCTAAGCAAGAAGTTGCAAATAATTTGACCCTATTGATGGTTGAATATAATATCACAATGCAAGAGTTCCTCCCAATTGGGTGGAAGATGAGAATATATGGCTCTAGAAGAGCTATATCATGTTTTATTATCTCTATTGATGGTTGAGAATATTATTACAATGTGTGAGTTTCTCGCATTAGGTAAAAGATGAAGATATAAAACTTCAGAAGAGCTATATCATGATTTATTATTTCCATTATTGATAAGCAAGAGTTTGTCAATGTTTAAGAATAGTATTGCAATGAACCCAAAGTTCATATGTTTTTGTCTAGCCTAACTGGTTAGATCATCCCAGATCATAATGATGCAAAATACTAAGAAAAATAATATTACTAGTTGTACTTGAAATCGAATCCGTGCATAAATATAATGTATCAAGTTCATATATATGGGCCTATTTAGATACCATGTGGAAAGATGCATCTATAAAATGGTCACATAGGTATTCATGATCAATTTGCTACCTAAAGTTTGCAAGCATGTCCAAAATAATTAAATTGAGTACGTAAGTCCTAGATTATGCAATCAATATGATTCCCATTGAAATTGCTAGTGATTGTTCCTCAACTTAGCAATAGCTATAAGTTTAGTAAAAAGTTCCATAAGTAGCCAAGTCAAGGTTTATGAGAATGAAATTCTCATTTTAGTGTTGGAAAAATTGATTTAGAAATTCTTGCACATAAATGCATCAAGCCAACAACGTATTATCAAATTTTCCATTATCATTGGCTTTTGGTCTGGAGTAGGATATTTTTCATCTTAGAATGTTAAGAATGAGTTGGAATCAATGTTGGATAAGAATTTTCTTCTTCTTATTTGTCTTTATATGAAACAAAATAATGTTTCTCAAAGAAACTTATAGATTTAAGATACTTATATTACATGTTCCCAATATAAGGAGAAGAAAATTAGTAGTTGAAAAAGAGAATACATAAAATACATTTTACTATCAAATATAGATCTTCAAATATAGTAGTATGAACTAAAAGTTGATAAAGTATTGGATTCATAAAATATTGTTAATATTTGTCAAATGCAATTATTGACCTAAAATTCTCACATTTTAGCATGAGATAATTATCGGTTCCAAAAGAAAAGAAAAAGGAGAGCAAGTGATCAAGATGATCATACTGAAGATGCATGAATTACAAAAGAGGCTAAGACATAACTATTTGACCCTTGAAGAAGTTTAAATTCTTGAAAGCAATAAAGAGATCTCGATATGCCTTATCATAAAAGGGCATCAAAAAAGAATAAAATTATTGATAATAATTTTAGTGATGATATCACATGATTAGATGAGGATCTTATATGCAATCTGCCATGGGATACAGACAAAAAAAGAGTTGGTCAATAGAGAAAAAAATGCAACATGCATCATTATAACATGGATTTGTGTATTTCTAGCCTGAGCACTTGAAGTGTAAAGCCAGTATTATACAAATGGGTGTTAAAGTAGAAATACAGTGTTATGGTTGGATTAAAGTTTTGCTTGTCTTATCAATTTGGCAATTTGATAATATATGAAAATATTTCATATGCGTCTAGGAAATATAGTGACTCACTATATAGTGAAATTTTATGTGAATCCTAGAAAGATTCAAATCCTTGTGTGAGTTCAAAATTATCTAATGTATGGATAGATTTTCATCATAGTATATGAAAGTTCTTGAAGGATTCAAATTTCTATAAGTATACAATAATGTTCTCAAGACAATTACTCAATTAAGTTAAATAAGTCTCTATATGGAGGCATATGTGTTATAACTAATTTAGTAAATATTAGATAAACTGATGATATAAAAATATTCTAAATTGTCCATGTATGAAAAGATCTGAAAATAGGTTTGTTATCATTGTTGATGATATAAATAGCATTGAAACATATGATGAGTTTACAAAAGTTGTAAATTTCTTAAACAAATAATTTGAAATAAAAGATTTGGGAAGAATAAATATGGATAAATCACCTCCCTTATATGGATAAGTCACATCTATTATGTACTCCGATAATTGTAAGATCTTTAGATGTGGACTAAAGATTCATGTAGACCTCCAAAAGGTGATGAATAAATACTTGGTTTAGAAATATCATATCTTAGTGTCACTATAGAATTTATGTATCTAGCTAGCTACACACAGCTTGATATATTATTTTTCAATTAGTATGATATAGTTCTTCATGAGCATAAAGATTTTGGAATGAAACTAAGCGTGTTCTTTATTACTTTAAGGGTACTATGGATGTGATATTATTTTATCTAAATGTACTCAAAACTAATCTTACTTGCTTTGTAGATGAAGGATCCTTGTCTAATCCTTATGTCAAGAGATCACAATGTGATCCATATTTCAGTAGAGCATAATGGGATTATTTGTCTCATGATTTAAAAAAATTATGAAATCAATATTTGACATTTTTATCTCATTACAACATTTGAAAGCTTGTTCGTTATATTAGACTTAATCGGCTTGAAAATGTCAACCAATGTTGTCAAGAGGGAAAGTTGATACACACTTGTACTCTTTTTTTGTTATCTATGATTTTGTCTTACTGGGTTTTCCTAACAATGTTTTTAATGATGCCACACTGCATAGTATATCGTTGAATAATATACTTTTTCTTCTACTAGGTTTTTGTCCCACTGGATTTTTCCTGGTTAAAATTTTTTAATGAGGCACGTTCATATATAAGGACATTCAAGGAGGAATGTTATGAATATAAAAATATCTTTGTGAATGTCTATCTATCTCCTATCATCTCCTCTATCTCCTATTATCTTTATATCCCACAATAGGAGTATGTAATCTGTAAATTCGATTAAAGATGTAAAACTGTACCCACAAATAGAGACAATATATCATGTATTCAAACCTTGAATGGAATGATAAATACTCATGTCTTCTTTTTTTTCCTTATTCCTCTTCTCTCATTCTCTATTCTTTCTAGAGTTTTATTAAAAAGTCACAGGAATTTTGACTTCAAGTAACTTCCATGGTACTTGTTTAGAATTATTAAAAATTCAAAATCCTTAATTATAATTAATATTTTCTAAAGATATTAAATGTCATTTGCCCTTTTTTATTATTGTGACACAACAAAGTTCTATGATTATAAAGTTGAGTTTTGAAATCTTATGAAGAAATTAATTAAATTTTCTTCTAGAATCTTTGTTTAAATTACATAATAAGTTGCTCTTCGTACAAAGTTTTTGTCATCAAAATGAATACTAGCCTCTTTGGAATACAAAGCTTACCTTAGGCATTATTTTAATTTCAATTTCTAACTGAAATATTCACATATTGTGATTTGTGAAGAGCACTTATATTAAAAATAATAATAATAACATTGGAGTAAAGTATTTGAATTTCTAAAAACAATTGTGTGTATGATTACAACAAGATAAGATTCAAAATAGCTTCGTGTAGTTTTTATTATTACCTCAAATATATATTTCAGGTATTTTTCTGTATAATAGTTTGATTTTACAATTGTTTGCTTTAAAAATTTGTATTGGTTTTATTAATTTTATATTATTCTATTTTTGTGAAGGTCAATAGTAAATAGGCATAAACTTCATTGCGGTATCGGTTTCTGACTAATTAATTAATATGGATTTATACATATTATTCTTATTGACAAACTATTGGCCGTGGGATGTGTAAGAAGTGTGTGTGTGTGTGTGTAGAGGAATATTTAATCATATATAGGAATATTTAATCACACATAATCATATGCATAAAGGAATAGACATAATATTCTAAGCTCTTGACGCTTTTGGTTGGCTCCTGCGGGTTATTACCTCAAAGGCATGCAAAGTCAAACACAACCACTTTAATTTTTTTTTTTTTTTGGGGATCTATAAAGACTTTAACAAATCTATCATCCTTTCTATTTCCACACCATATAGCTTGTCATGAAACATGCTTGCACATCTAATGAAAAGCAAAATAAATAAAATAATAGGAAAAGAAAAGGCCCTGGGAAAGCATAAACAGTGGTACCTGATCACCATGAACTGGCTTTCTTTATATAGATATATATATATTCCAATAATTATTTGTCATAATAAGAAATGGTAGGGGTTCATCCCCTATCTATAAAAGGCAGAAAATTTTTGAAGATCCTACAATCAAAGCCATATCTCGTCATAATATTCCACGTCTTGTGTCCCACAAGCCATACAGAATTATTTTGCTGGTCATTATTCCAATGGATGTGGTTCGTTCACCAAGTATGTTTGTTATTGTTCTTCTTCTTCCCTTTCTGCTTTCCTCTTGTGCCTATGGCTACTCATTAGATGAAGTCAAGCCATGGTGTAGCCAAACCCCTAACCCTCAGCCATGTGAATACTTCTTGATGAGCTCCAAAACTTACAATAAACCCATAAAGCAAAAATCAGATTTCTTCAAACTTTCAGTCCACCTTGCCCTTGATAGAGCTCAAAAGGGCCTAACCAAGACTCTCTCACTTGGCCCTAAGTGTAGGAACGCACGTGAGAAAGCTGCTTGGTCTGATTGCCTTGAGCTCTATCAGCAAACCATCAATAGGATCTCAAAAACTGCAAGCCCTAATTCCAAATGTACCCAAGTCGATGCTCAAACATGGCTTAGCACAGCCTTGACCAACCTCGAAACGTGCATACTTGGGTTTTACGACCTCGGAGTTACAGACTATGTTTTGCCTTTGATGTATGATAATGTTACTCAGTTGTTAAGCAATGCCTTATCTCTTAACAAGGCTCTATACGCTCCGCCAAGTTTCAAAGATGGGTTGCCTTCTTGGGTTAAGCCCGGTGACCGGAAACTGTTGCAGGTGGCCTCACCGGCTTCTCAAGCTAATGTCGTGGTGGCCAAAGACGGTTCTGGCAAGTATAAAACCTTGAAGGAGGCCGTAGATGCTGCACCAAAGAGTAATAAGGGAAGGTATGTTATATTTGTGAAGGCAGGAGTTTACAATGAACAAGTTGAGATAAAAGGGAATAATATTATGTTGTCGGGAGATGGCATTGGAAAGACTATAATCACGGGTAGCAAAAGTGTTGGAGGAGGCACTACAACCTTCCATTCAGCTACTGTTGGTAAGTAATAACAAGTTGTTTTATTTACTTATTTTTTATATTCTGGTAATCAACTACTAATATACTGCACATAATTTTATTATTCATAGATGTAAAGGAAATATCAATTAATAGGGAGTGATAACTATATGCTAACAAAATCGTCGGTGAATATATCTACATCATGTAACTAAAATTTAAACGGTGTAGGTATTAAGGCTACAGTAGTACTGGAATATAAGGGTTATTATATTCAGAAAAAGAAAAATAAATAGCCTCTGTAATCAAAATATGACATGCATTGCTGACAATGATTGATTTGTGTAGAAAAGATTTACATAAATAATAAATCTTGTGGATAAAAAAAATTAGAAGAACTATATCTGATGTGTATATTAATATTAAAAACCACACATAATTATTCCTATTGTATAAGGTAAAGTTTCCGGTAAAAAAAAAAAAGTATAAGGTAAAGTGAGTCGCCTAGAAAATATATATATCTATATATATATATATATATATATAATTGGAGGATAAGAAGGCAAATGTGATATTATTAAGGAAAAAAAAGTATGACCTTGAAGTTTCATATTTTTTTAGAGCTGTGTATTATAAGAAAAATCATTCATATATACTTTTCTCTTCCCTCTGAGCCTTTCTTCAATGACATATTCATTGAAGATGCAATAATAATTTTATAATTTTATGATCAACGACGATTATATCCCCCGCCCCCCCCTCCCGGGGGGATAACTACTCTGGGAAATCAAAGCTCTGTCATTTGACCAAGCAACATGCAAATAGAATTCGTTGATAGAAACAGATAAGTCTTATTAATAAAAAATTTATGGTAGGTATAGCCAAAGCTAATATAATATTATATATTCCCTCCATCTCCTTTTATAATACACAGTATCTAACAACCTTTGTCCTTTTCTATAGTACTATTTTTTTTTGGGTAATTCTAGATAGTACTCCTTATCAATGAGTTTTCCCCTAACATTTAATAAATGATTTAACCATTAATCCATTTAATTAGGGGTATATTTGAAAAGACAAAGATTTATACGCAAAGAATTTCCCTAGTTCTTCCATGAATTTATTGCATTGAATAAATTACTCTCATAGGTCCTTAATAATATAGATGCTAATTAGGAAGTTAAATTTGATTTTAAATATAGGATCGTCTTATTTCTCATATTTATTATTTTTTAAAAATTAATTTACTTAATTCATTGTAAACTTATCATAATCTAATTTTATATAAGGTCATTTTAGCAATATTATGTTATTTGTTATAATTAACTAATTTATTTAATTGCTTTAGTCTGCCCAAATAAATAAGTAGCTTTCATATTAAGAACCCAGAAATAGTATTCTCTTTTATAAGTACATTCATTTTTTGAATTGTCTTAATAATGGATTTGAAAGTTGGGAATAGAACAGTACATAGAAAAGTGGATAATAATAAATAATGTATTGTACATGACTATTGTGCAGCTGCTGTGGGAGATGGATTTATTGCAAGAGACATGACATTTAGAAACACAGCTGGACCATCAAACCACCAAGCCGTGGCACTCAGATCAGGTTCAGATCTCTCAGTGTTCTATCGATGCAGCTTTGAGGGATACCAAGACACACTCTATGTGCATTCCCAAAGACAATTCTACAGGGAATGTGACGTTTACGGCACAGTTGACTTCATCTTTGGTAACGCAGCTGCTGTTCTACAAAACTGCAATCTGTATGCAAGAACTCCTCCTCAAAAGACCATCACATTCACAGCTCAAGGCCGAACTGATCCAAATCAGAACACCGGCATCATTGTTCACAATTCTAAGGTCACTGGCGCGTTGGACTTCAACTTGAACAACGTTGAGTCTTACCTTGGAAGGCCATGGCAGAAGTATTCAAGGACAGTGTTCATGAAGTGTTCTCTTGGCAGTTTGATTGACCCAGCAGGGTGGACGCCGTGGAGTGGTAATTTTGCTTTGGACACTGTGTATTACGCTGAGTATGCAAATACAGGACCTGGCTCTTCAACTTCAAATAGGGTTAAGTGGAAGGGTTACCGTGTGATTGGTGCTTCTGAGGCCTCACAGTTCACTGTTGGCCGTTTTCTTTCTGGAGGTTCATGGTTACCAGCCACTGGTGTGCCTTTCACTTCGGGTCTTTAATTTGAGTTTCACTCTTAATTATTGTGGTTGTTAATAATTGTAAAGCAAATTAAAACAGGAAAAGAAACAAGAAAAATAAAGGAGATCCTTGATACAGGTTTCAATTGTTAAACAAGATTGAATATTATTGTTGAATATTTGTGTCAAAGATGCATATCGGTTTAATATTAAAAAATGTCGATGTTATCTTTTCTTTTTTTATTTATTATTTTGTCTTTTCTCTTTTAATAATTCTATGACGGTGATGAAAAATTCAATATGTACTTTAATACTTTGATAAAAGCATCTTAAAAGCATCTTTGGTTATGTTGAAGAGCATTGGGGGACCACGTCCTAGCTTTGGCTATAATGATCTAAATGATGCTCTTTTTAGTATGAAATACAAGGACTAGTAGCACTACAAAAAAAAAAAAAAACAGTGTTTTGTAGCGGTTATTTTGCAGCGCTTTCAAATAACCGCTACTAATACCAGAATTTGCAGTAGTTCAAAAAAAAACCAGTACAAATATACAACAGTTTGATTTTGACATTTACGTTTGCAGTGGTTGATTGTGCATTAGCTGTGGTTAAAATAAAACCACCACAAAATAAAATTATTGGGTACAAATTTTGCAATAGTTCTAACTGAACCGTTGCAAAATACAGGAGTTTGCAGCAGTTTATATGTAACCGCTACAAACTCTGCATCAGTTATAGCAACGATTCTAACAAACCACTACAAATTCTACAACGGTTTGTCAGAACCGCTACACAAACTGCGGCAAAGGCCATAGTTTCTGCTTTGGAAGCCTTCTTAGGTGGTACACCTTACTTCTAGAATGACTTAGAGTTCACTCAGAACCATTTTAGACTACATTGGATGGTTTTGGGCTCAAAAATCTCACTTAGGACGTTGAGAACGCTGCTTTTCGGATTTTTACTGTTCATTTGGTAAAATTCTAGTGTTCTGGTCTAATTTCGAAAAATCATAACTTAATCTAAAAAAATTGAAATAGAGTTGATCAAAATTCTATAGAAAGCTCTTTGAATGCTATTTCAAGGAAAAATAATCTTGTGAACCAATTCCATTTGAAAAAGTGTCAGGTTTTTGTGAAAGTCATCTCTGTCCTTTTTGTAAAAATTCTTTTTCCAGATTCTGGGCCTTAAATTTAATAATTAAAAATCATATAGTTGGCTATTTTTAACGTTTTGCCTATTGATTTAAAGCTCATGACATGAACTTTAAGCATACCAAATTTTGTGAAGAAATTCCCTCGAGAACTTAATAAAAATGTGACTCGAAATTGGCATCCTACTTAGGGTTACAGCATCAAACTTATACATAATCCAAAATGTAACTGTTTCCTCATGGTTCATCACCATATTTATCCTTGGATTTATAGCCTCCCTTTTGATGATTCAGCTCCTAACATGTTAGGTTACATATGGAGGATGAGATTCCAATAAAATCCCAATAGCAAGATCAATCAACTAAAATATTAACATGCCTTAATTACGAGCATTCCAACCTTTTTGCTTTTAATAGGGAACTACTTTACCTCATACATGTAACACTCTAGCATGCAATAGCCAAGGCACCTAAAGCAAGGAGTATAGCTACACAATCATCATCATCATCATCATCATCTAGCTCAACCACATAATAGCACATGAAATTACATAGCAATGAATGCAACACTTAACATTAAAGTTAATTAAATCTTACTATGTTAATCCAATACTCTTTGATTCTTTGACCTTGTTCCTCTTCTCCACAATTAACAAATCCTAACATCACAAACCATCAAAAGGGCAGCAACATTACCAATCAAACCATATCAAAAATCAGTAACAAAACTCAGTTAAACCCTTGCCCTTTAAAGCTTTAACCTTTGATCTTTAATTTTTGAGCTTTGTTTCCTTAAGCCCTAAAAATTCTTTCTTGGTTCCTTCCAACATGATTTTTCATGTAGAATCTAAATATGGGCTTAGATTTAAGAAAATAAATCTTCTTCCTCAAGATTCAGTTTGGCCGAAGCAAATCTCTAAAAACCAACCATGAAATCTTTCAAATATAACACCAAACTACTTGAAATCATCTTGAATCATAGTGCTCTAGCTACATTTAACTTCAAAACTTCCCTCTCCTAACATTAACCAATTTGGTCAGTACCATCAAGAGGCAAGAATGAAATTTTTCAACCATCAAACTCAAGAGAATCAAGCAAGGAATAACATAATATCAACTACTAACCTTAATTCCAAGATGGTTGTTTTCTCCTTAAACTCACTCAAAGATCACTCTTGCTCTCTCATTTTCCCTCTTGGCCGAACCTCACATCTGAATGTAGGGGAGGAAGAGCTCATTACTGCGCACAAAAATATCCCAACCACCAACAATAAATGATTTGCCAAGTGTCACTTCCCTACTCCTTCTTGAAACCTCTTTCTTAATTATTTAATTCTAATTGTAATTAATTTCCAAAAGTCAAACTCTCTTTCACTTGAGGCTTGAAAATTTTAATTACTCTCTAATAAGGGCTTGACAAGTGGCAACTTGTGGGCCAAGTAAAATGCAAGACTTTAATCTGCACTTTATCGGTGCACTTTTATTCCGGGTTTAATTTCTTTTCTATAATCACAGTACTATGGCCTCTGTAATTATTTTCTGTCAGATCTATCATTTATTCTCCTCATTTTTCCCAAAATGCCCTCTTTAGCTCAAACTCAATTTTTCATTAATTAAATAAAAAGGAAAACTATTTTCCTTCTCATTATTTATTTTTTTTCCACTTCTCCAACTAATTAGGAAAAATCTTGGATATCTGAGGATCTTCTTTTAATTTTATAACCTCTTATAATTCCTTGGGGCATCATAGGAATTTTTTTTGGATTTTATTCTCCTTCCAAATATTTAGTTGGAATTTTCCAAATAAAAGGCCATAAATTAGGCCAAATCAACCTTAAATTCGTTTGTAATTTCTCTAAGAGTAATTTGGTTATAAAACCAATTATACAACCTCATATAATTCTCAAATATATTATCTTTATTTTTTGTAATTTTATGAGACTTGGAAATATTTTTCCATAATTATTTTTTACTAATTTTCCTTAATTAGTCAAACTTTTCATAATTGACTTGGAAAATCATAATAATTATTTTTCATCATAGATCTTCTATTTCTCCTTATTGTTTTTGGCCCTTGAATATTTAGTAATATCCTTATTCCTAATTCCCATATTATTGGATGTGACATTTCTCCCCCCTAAATAAATTTTGTCCTCGAAATTTAAAGCGTATCTTAATAAAAAAGTTCAAGATACTTTTCTTTTATCTTAGTCTCCATCTCCCTCGTAGCTTCTTCCAGGGTAAGACCTTTCTAGACAACCTCGACCAGCAGAATCTTCCTGTTCCTCAGCTGTTCGACTTTCTGATTAATGATTCCCTCTAATCTGACCTTAGAAGAGAGGTTGTCTCAGAGCAAAATGTCATCATAGCTTATGACATGTGTTGGGTCTGGATGGTACTTCTTTAATTGGGAGATATGGAAGACATCATGAATTTTGACTCAAATTCAGGGGAAGGTTAACTTGTAAGCTACTAGTCCTACTTTGGACAAAATTTGAAACAATCCAACGTATTTCAGACTCAATTTCTTAGTCTTTAGGAATCAATCAACTTCTGTCGTTGGTAACACTTCGATCACCCATCTTAAACTCTAACAGTCTCCTTCTAGTATTTACTTAGCTCTCTTGTCTACTTTAAACCGTTAGGAGTCTTTACTGAATACCTTTAATTTGTTGGGACATCTGATCCACTATAACAAGACCTTAGATACTTCTTTCACTAAGGTCTGTTCCAGCACAAGGGAGATCTACACTTCCTGCCATAGAGTGCTTCATATGACGCCATTTAGATACTTGAATGGAAATGGTTATCTTAAGCGAATTTGGCTTATGGTAAGTACGTATCCTAGTTACTACCAAAATCAAGCACATATGTGTGTAGGATATCTTCCAACATCTGTATCGTTCTCTTTGTCTACCTCTTTGTCTATGGATGGTAAGCTGTACTGAATTTGAGAGTAGCATCCATTTCTTTCAATAAGGACCTTCTAAAACTTCGAGTAAATTTCAGGTCTCGATCCAAAACAATGCTGCTGGGACACTAAGTAGCCTAACAATTTTCCTTAACTTTACCTACCATTTTTCGCTGGACTTAGTGCATTTTTTGTCAAAAATGGCTAACATTTTTGGCTTTTGCACTCTCTTACTTTATTTCCCAGGGTCACCCTTCTTTAGGCTACTCTTGCTTGAGTACCCTTAACTGGACAATGCTGATGGGAATTTGAGACACTAATTTTGATAAGCTTAAACCCTGGTACTTTGCTGTCTTAGACCCTTCTTGATCTGTCTTTAGTCAGGTCTTTTTAGTTTACATTCCTGTCTCTCGCCTCATCTTAAGGATTTGGCCATCAATACTCAGTCTGTCTTTGTATCACAAGGGGTTCTTCCTGTATCTACAGCTAGCCTGAATGTCTCTTTTTCAGGTCTTATGGCTGTAATTCTTCTAATTTGGTGTTCCTCTGTTAATCGAAAGGAAATTGAGCCTAGCCTAATTAATGATAAGGTTATCTGGAAGGAGGTCATGGGTACCCTCTCAGTACTGGTTTACAATTGAAAGAGGTTTCCATATCTTCAACTTATCAGTGGTCTTCATCTTCCCAAAGAGGTACCAGATCTCTGGGAGACTTTAGACCATAGGACTAAGTAAAGTCACCTCTACTCAATTGGTCATCTAACTGATAATTTCCATAAACTATTCCAAAACCATTACCATTCTCTCAAGCCTCAAATCAATTCCTCAGGCCACCTATTTGTCTCTTTAAGTGCCTAAGCCAATTTGCCTTAAAAGTTCTCTTACTCCTCCAGCCGATCTTACCGTCTCTTACTATCTTAGAACAGTACAGAGAGGAGACTTATGCAACTTCTATTTCCTTTACTTTACTTTTCAGTATGAG